CCTTCCATCTCCTGACTGATCTCTAGATGGAAACCAACTGTTCTTACAGCAAGGAATTCAATCTCCTCACCAGTTGTAGCATCATTGCCAGCCACAGTGACTTCTGTGAACTGGTCCCAGCACTAACTAATTTCACAAAAGAAAAAAATCAGTGAACAGCTAAGAAATCACCAGGGATGCTGGCTGTTACAGACCTAGGACAAATGTGGAGTTCTGGAGGTGAAAGGATCTCTACACCATTACTGACCTTTGAAATTTCCCAGTCCCAGAGGTGTACTTTCATGGGAAGAAAAAGCTGTTTCAGATCACACCAGATATTTTCTGCAATGCCCAGCAGTTAAACCTGAGGATGTTCTCCAGATGTTTGTGTTTCTACGAAACATACAAAAATAAAGTTGTAAACTGGACAAGACAATACTCAAAATGTAAGAACAAGGGCTTTAGGGCAGCCTGGAAAAACATGAACATTAACCAGCCCACACATAAAATCAACTTGTCCTCTTTAAGAGGCCAACAAAGATGTGTTTTAATTGCTTTTCCAAAGAACTGCTACTTTTCCCAGCAGGTGGGCACATACAACTTGTCATGGTTCTTATATTGCCAACAGGCAATTGTTTGTATTTTGAGGAACAGATACTCCTTTCACTTGGGCATACAAGAAGTGAGAAGTACAAGGTCTAGGCCAAGATGAAGCAACTGTTTAGACAGTTTTTATTCCACAGTGAAAAGAAAATAATAATGTACCATTGTCTGGAAAACTACAAAGAGCAAAAATTGAACGTGCACTGGCTTAGATATCTACAGAGTGAAATGTTTTAACTGTTCGCAAGCTGTCTAACAAAGGTAAAACAGCACTTTGAAAATGGAAGTCTGTTGTCTTTTCTTTTCTGGAGCTGTTTATCTTTTCTGCTGGCTATATTGGCTAAGCAAAATGTCCAAGCAGACGGGCTACAAGTCCTAGGAGGTCTTTGGGGAAGAATTCTGTATTTTTCCTGCTTAATTTAGGCTGCTCAAGTAGGTCCCGATCCCAAAAATATTTGGACATAATGGACACCTTTTTGTTTAGTGCACTTAATATTACTCTGGTAGCTTGTGTATAGGGATTTCAGAGTGTCACCAGCCTATACTGCTTGGGGTTTGGCTATTCCAGTGATTTCACTGGGGCATGCTTGCAAGTATTACCTCACCTTTGTGGTTTTTTAAGTGACTGTAAAAGGAAGACAGCTGTTGGTTGCTGTCATGGCTTTGATCTGAAAAGCCTGGTCAGGCCCTGTGGTGCATGACTTCTCTTTACAACAAAGTGGGAGCAAGCCACACTGGAATGCATGTCTTCACATATACAGGGTTAAACATTTTTGCAGGTTTATTGTGGCACCTGTAGGTGGCCTCATTTTAATAGTCAATAAAATAAGAAGTATTAGTCCAGTTCCCCAGCGTGCTAAGCAACATTTTGTCATACTGAACTTGGAAGCTGACAAATTTGCTTCTGGTGCCATTCAATACTCTGCTATTCATTCTATTAAAAAGTGGGTATATTTATAAAATCATTGATTGCAATGCAGAAAGTGCACACATCTATTTTGTTTTCATCCTTATTTCCTGTTCCCTCCCAGACCATGGGTAAAGGACAAGAGGACTGCTGCCTATGCAGTGACATTAGCACAGACATTTTGTAACAGAATGAACAGTAAGAAAAAATGAACACGAATCCCAAATTCTGTCAAAGAAGGTCTAATACAAATTTGATTGGGTAAATGGACTACAAAACAAGGTTAACTGAAATAAGACTGAACCATTCAGTACAATTAAATACCAACATTCACATCCACACTTGGCATCATGTTAGTGACAATGTATTCTTTGCTGCCACCCCAACAGAAACCCTGACTTATGATGCTGTGCTATTTTTGTGCTGTAGTCACTGTGGTAGGGCCTCAGTTTTGAATACTTCATAAAGAAACACTGGGGTTTTGTTTTAGTGAATGAGACCTGACAGAGCTTGTGAAAAAGGCCTACAATTCAAGTGCCTTTTATATGTGGAAGGCATAAAGCCACAGCAACAAGAGAATCTCAAAGCAGATGGTTAACTGGCCTTGTGTAGCTGATCCTGCCACCACTGCTTCTCCCACCCTGTGGCTGGGGCACCCTGGGGAACACCAGGAGCAGCTAGGAGAGTATCTCTTACTAGAAATTTCTCTGGTTTTGAAGTGGTGGTGCACACATGTGTGTTAAGAAAAACTGCATGCCATGCACTGCAAGACACAGCTGGCCTTGAGTTAGACTGGAGCACAGAGCCATGCCCCGGGTCTGCTGCCAGGGCAGCACCAGCAAAAGCATGAATGCCTCTGAAGATGTGCCTCAGCACAGCACCTCTGGGTGCTGACAGACTGGCCAGGTTGTGCTGGGAGCACAGGGCAAAGCCAGCACGGGGCATCCAGCTCTGCCCCTCCTTGTAGTGGGTACAAGTTAGTACCTCATTTAAGACATATCAACTACTACAGTTTTGAGAGGGAAGTACAGTGGATGGGTGGGACACAGAGTCCAAAGGGATTAATTTCTGGACTAAGAGAGATCATACTAAACTTGTAAACAGGCGTGCAGTGTGTCATCTAGACACTGGCAATGTTTGAGAACAAGTAGCAAGGGATTTAATTTCAAAGTAACACTCTGGTTCCCACAAACATACACAAGGAAGCTAGCTTAAACACAGCCTGCAACTCACACCTATCTTTTAAAACCCGCTGCAGGGCTGATTTACCAAGTGGCAATAACCTGCTGCCTCTGCAGTACTACTCCAAACCTTGGAGATGAAAATTTGGCAGAAAGCAACTTGCCAGCTACATTTCCCCACTGCAGATGGAGCCTGGGCACTGCAGGGCTCCTATGACATGCTTGCCTGCAACTTACCACATCCCACACGGAATCTTTTGGAAGAGGCTAAAACTTCTGCTGAGTTAAAGTTGAGCCTTTCTCTATAGATTTCCTTGCTCTGCTGAGGCCCAGGTGTTTGTGACAGTCTCTTGAAAGTTGGTAGGTGCAAGGATACCTGGTACCCTGCAGTGCTGTGTCCCTGCCAGAAACCTGCAGGAGATAAGGCACTGTATGTGTAATATTCACAGTAAGTTAGGGGAAAGCAAAGTAAAAGCAGTTCCCTAAGACATCCTGCAGTGAAGGATGCAGAAATGTGACATAAAACCAGATAAATAAGGAAGCAAAACAGAGTTATTTATAAAGAAATTTATTTTATATTTGTGTACAGCAAATATATGAAAACAAATTTGATTTGAAAAATGTATATTTGATTTCTTAAAAGTATTGAACCCTCTTATGGAAAGGTTTTAGTTATTATAAAGGTACAGAAGGCTAAAATTATGCTCAAATAATATAGGTGTGTGTACGTATATATATATAAAAACATGTGCAATTTTATATATATATATATAGTATATATAAATAACAAGTGACTTACATGATTTTTAAGGTATCTTATTTAAACATCATATTTAAAATAGAGATATTAGAAAATATAGTTTGCTATTTCTACACAGTTTGCATTCAGATTTTATAAGCATCTAGAGAGTGCAAAATTTAAACATACAGAAATATTCTATTATCCTGTACATTGTGCTCAGCTCCCACATTTTCTCTGTCATGATCATCACCAGACTGAACCAAATTTGGAGGGTTCAATACCAGCCCTTACTAGCATCTTCTAAGAGCAATAAAAGGAAATCTATCTTACCTTGCACTGCACTGTGGTATAGCTTGTGCACAAGAAGAATGCATTTCCTATATTAAATGATCTAACTCCCAGAGATCACATACACCTCAGCATATTGATTCATTTCATTGCATTCCATATCCTGCAAAAATAAATCTCCTGTAGGACAGCATACATTACTGTGTTCTGAAGCTTAAGTACTATATTTCTTTAACATAAGGCAGGAATATACTGAAATTTGATAATACTTAAATCGAACAGCAATCTGGAATTAAACCACATTTACGTACCACATTTTTATAGATGCTGCCTTTTTAATATTTTTTCATGTCTTTCTAATGTTGCTTTGAAAAAAAGGCAATTATGACCATTCCACATGCTTTCACAGTAGCTATATTTTAACTGAAGGGTGTTTGAACTTCAGATAACATGTTTATTATCACTGACATAAAAACCTCAATCCTGCTTCCATAAAAATCAGTGGTTGCTTTGTTCCTACTAAAAATAAAATTGGATCCAAACATGTTAGTCACAAAGTTTGTTAGTAGAAGTAAATACCGTGTTCATTAAATCTCTCAGTGTTTAAAGGCAAAGTGGTAGCAAATACTGTGTAGTATAGCTTAAAGAACAGTATTATGCACAATTCTAAGTGTTATTCAAAAAAATCGAAAAGCAGCTGTGAACAACACCTCATGGGACAGTGAATTTTGCTACATGAAAATTTCTGGAACTGTGACAGACTTTTTTCTAATTAATTTCTTACACCAACACTGTCACTCATGCCACTACATTGCCATTGCACAAATTAAAGACTGGATCTTGTACGCAGTATGCATCCAGACCAGCTAATCTTTAAAAGTGGATACGTCAGGAGGGTCTCCCTCTTTCTACTGCATTCATTCCTAAACTTCTCTCTAGCAGAAACTGTCATGTTTCTGAATCCTTGTAGCAACTGACAAGATAAAGAGCCTCGTGTCATCCTTCATCTACTTCACTTTGCAAGTTTATCTCTGCACTTGCCCATATAATTACCCCCTGCAGATTTCAACTTTAATTCAGATTTGCGTTACGCTTGTTGAATAGGCCTCACAAACAGACAAAGCCTCATTAGTAGCCTGCAAAAGTGAGCCTTACTAGGTAAAACCTTGATTTAAATTACCAAACAAAGGGGAAACATAGATGCTGAGACAATGTTTACATCCTCTCAACCACATCCTTGAAATTTTGGCAGCAAATTAGCCAAAGGATGCTTTTAACATCTCATCCATCTCTTTCAGTTGGGAAGGAACAGCCATAACTACAAGTTTTTGCAAGGTGTGGCTGGCTGATGCTGGGAGATGGTTGGATACATATGACCAAAGGCTGCATGTCTCACAAGTCAGAACAAAGCAAAGATGTGCTAGGAATTCAGGATTTTCTTATGCTCAGAAGTTTCCTATAGACTGGAGATAAACACAAGTCCCATTTCCCACGCAAAAAGGAATCGTGTGTAAACCTAGAGTAACACAGTATTAAGAAGAAACTAATAACTAATGATGTCAAAGCCTCTCAATTTAAAGATTCCCCAAAGCAATCTCAAAGAAAAGAAGAAAAAAGAAAACCTGCAGACTCAGTCAATACATTTTTCAATCCAATTATACAGTAAATGCACAGACAGGAAAGGCCTCAGTTCTGAAAAGGTGAGGAAGAAGAATGATGGTGCAAAATGCTTTCATACATTTGAACATTCTTAGGATATAAGAGAGCAGGCAACTTGAAAACTAGAAAACATTCCTTGTAAGCTGTGTGGGATCCACGCAGTTTTCTGCAGGCTTTGCTTCATCCTACAGCTCAGCTTTGCCTGTTGGGGCAGGACTGGCATTAACGCTGCCTTCTCCAGCGTTGTTCTTGTCTGCTGGCTTGAAAGATAATGAAGCAGAGTTTGTGCAGTACCGTTTGCCAGTTGGGCGAGGTCCATCATCGAAAATGTGCCCCAGGTGAGCCCCACACTGAAACAAAACACAACAGAGTATCAGTGTGTCTGTGCCGCTCGCTCCGTGCCGTGCTGCGCTGGTAAGCAATGACTGGCAGCTGCTGCCAAGGAAGCCACTGATGCCTACATCACCCTTTCAAGTGGGATTTACAATCTACATTTATTTGCAGGAGTGATCCAGGAAGATGATCTGAGATACCACCAGTGCCAAGACTTCAAGCCCAAATTTCCAGGGTGTTTCCTGTCACCTATGCTTGGTTGGACGACCATCTCTGAGGTGTTTCTATAATGATTTCATGGCAGGAGCACAGCTAAAAACATGGTGGTGAGGACAGAACAGACCCATGCCTCACTTACTGCTGTAAGGATATCTGTGTAAGAAAGGGACAGCCTCAGCTTTGGCCTCTCCTCAGCCTGCAACCATCTGCGACACCCCTTGGTAAAAAAATTAAACCCTTTGGTGATCCTAGCAAGGACCTAAAGCACTAAAGATATTCTTTGGAGTGTGCTCTCACATTTCTTTTTTTTCCCCTTTCTATAGTATGGCACTCTTCTGAGCATCAAGGTCCTTCTGGGTGTACTTCTTGACCCTAGAGGGGATGGAGCCCAACCCACTCATCTCATAATAATTTCTCTAGTACATACAAGACAGGGACAGGTGACTGAAAAAGACCTGTAGTGCAGATATGTAAATGTTTTTTAACTAATAATCTCTGTCTGGGAGTAATTATAAATGATACTGAATTTTGCTTTTTGTAAGGAATAAGAAAGTACAAATGGTCTGCTGCCTCTTTTGCTCTGTGTGATTCAGACCCAAATACTTGCAGTGCTATTCAGGGTGAGCACTACTGATCTTGTCTGTAAGAAAGGTAACAGTCCTTTGCTTTACAAGGACTGCTTTACAAATACAGTATTTTGAGGAAGCTAACCCTGTTGATCCTTATTCAAAAATTAAGATTACTATCACTGCACATTATGCCTGACAATTTATCTGGATAAAGACTTCTTGTAATTAGTCACTTGAATTCCACAAGTTCATTTTTACAGCCTGCCGCGAGAAACAAAAAACTAAAACCTTGCACTGGAGAAATATTTATCTTGAACAGGAAAGTCATGCTGCTTTACCAAAGAGCCTTGGCCTTTCAAGTCAATAGCAGATCTCAGTGAGAGGTGGAATGATGTAATTGAGATCACAGACCTGCTCATGGGCTCACAGTCAGACAGCAAAAATTAAAGACTGAAAATTATTCTTAACATTTAATTAATTCATGGTATTCCAAATACATAGAGGCAATAGTGACCATTCCAAACTCTGAATGAATTAGTGATGGCAAATCTCTACCCTGCAGTTAATGTATTGCTAATGTTCTCCTGCTGTTATGGCCTTTAATTCACCAAAGCAGCAGGAAAGGTGTCTGTAGTAGCACGTAGTCTCGCCTCCAGGTTAAACTTTCTCAATAGACTGAAAGGCTGGGGGAGGCTCTCACACCAGCTAGGTGGGACAGAAACTCTGCTCATTTAATGACAGCTGAAACAATAATCTTCACTGCCTTCAGGAGCAGGGCAGGTAGACGTGAACCTTCAGTGCTCCCACCTGTTGGTATCACCCATGCAAACACATCCCACATCCCACAGCAGGCTCCCTGCACCTCAAGAAGTGTCACTGAGACAGCCATGGCAGTCCAGCAAAGATCCCAATAACAACCACGGGCTTCCAGCCTGTGGCATCAGCAGAACACACTCCCACAGGCAATGGAAAATGGCATGCATGACTGGGTTAAGCAGCAGATGCTCAGCTTTTTAAGGAAGGAAGATAAAACAAGGGAAGTAAGTAAAAGGAAGTTGAATGGGACCTAGAGAAAACTAAGCTTCAAGTTTTCTTCTTGAAAGACTGCTGTCTTGCCATCTTTTCCTCCATTTTCCACTGCTTATCCTTTTTAAAATTTTCCTTTACATTGAAGGCCTTTTTTATGTTAGCATGTGCAAAAAACTGGAGCTGTTTTCTGAATGTGGGGCATCTAACAATGAAGCATTTCACCTACTATAAGCATACCTTTGGGGGGAAAAAGAATTAAGTGTCCCAGGGAGAGTATTTTTCTAAATGCTCAGCATCCTAATTAAATCATCTCATCTCAACTAAGAGTGCTTCAAAACCTCCTGGCTGGAAGTGTTAAACAGATCTTTTCCAGACTAACATTTAACAAAAGATAAATCATTCCCTCTCTACTGGACAGAAACAGAACAAGAGAAACTGCAGAGAGAAATGGTCTATAGAAGTAATATATTCACACACAGACTACAAAGACAATCTATCAAAAAGGTTTTCCTCACAAAATCTGAGAAGCTGTATGAGAGTCCAAGGCAGTCTCATTACACATTTTCGTGATGGCAGAATCACTCCAGGATTGAATTACTGCAAAATTTGTTACCTTTTGAGATTACCCCTCACCAAAAATTTATGTGGCGATTCTCTGTATAGAGGACTCTATAACTCATCTGCCCTAAACAGAAATGTATTTCAGTCCTTTGTATCACAGTATAAAAAACCTGGCACTCAGCTGAGAGTACAAGGATGAATTGACTTTACTGTCCCTCCCCACACATAATAGGTGCTGATCATTTTTCTAGGACATATGTACATGCCTGCAGAGCCTCTGGAAAAGAAATAATTATCTGTTGCAGCCTTGCACATAAATACATTGGGCAGAATGAACTGGGACAGTGAAATGGTTAAAGCATTCCAAGTATGTGCTTGGGAGCAGGAAAGGGAGGGGGTCACTGCTAACTGTCAGTATGCTTGGATCTCCCAAGCCTCCTGGTTCTAATATACTGCTGGGAGGCATGGAAAGCAGCTTGCAGTCAGCTGCTGCAGCAGAGAGTCCAAGCTATTGGTGTGCAAACACTACTCTTGTGACTACGGAATTTTATTGATTTGCACAGGAAAATTAGTAGGTAGGGAGACCACAGGGAAAGGGATGCTTGAACAGGACAGAGGAAAAAAAGAGATGCAACCAGTTTTACAGTATTCCTCAACTGCATTTGTATTAATTTCTACCTGTCACTAATCACTGACCTTTTAAATACACCCAGGGTGTGTTCCAAAAACAGTGAAAGTTATTTCTAGGATAATCCCACAGACGCATTTGATTAATATTACAGTGATTTTCCCCCTGTGTTTGCTTTCTATAGTGAAGAACATTAAAAAATATTTCTTTTATTCTCTCAGACAGGTGGGAAAGACTTTCAAAGAAAAATCAACTACTTTTTCATCTGCAAAGGATTAAATGGAGTTATTGCCCCAGGAAGCTGGAATAGCTGGTAGGAAGTCGCTATTGGATTATACAGCAAATATGACCTTGGTCATATTTTTTTCTTCAAATTCAGATTTTAGTTTTGCTTTGATTTTATGGTATCTGCATGTGACTGCTCCTAATATTGCTGGTCTCAGGTCTTTTAACACTACTTTGCTTGGTAACAGGTAAATGATGTTCCCATATTCCTTGGCTGACCACAGGCTTCCTTGGGCTTCTCCAGGAGCTCTGGCCATCTGCTGAAGTGTGTCAGCAGATACAGGCTCAGCAAGTTTGCAATAAGCAGATTTTAGCACTGTTCAGGCCTACTAAGCAGAGCTAAAGAGACTGGACTGCATTTTTGATTATGCCAGTAACCACCGCTGAAGCATGAACTTCCCAATCTGCAGTCTCATGGCTACCTTGCTATTGAATCTGAGGAAGTGGATATTCCCACAAAATGTTGACTGGATCCTCTACAGCATATCATCCATGCAAAAACTTCAGAATTTCATAGTATACATGACAAACTAGCAGACACCCTAATATGGTCATTAACATACTGGGCCAAATGCTCTATGCAGACTGAAGTTAATGGATACTCTTGATAAGTTTCTCCACTCACTCTGAGCCTTATATAATGAGGTCTGACTGACTAGTAAGAATGCATATTGTCAGGGATAAAATCACCTACCCCCACAACAATGCTGGAAGAAGAGCAAATTATCACTGCCCAAATAAAGCTGCTCCTTCTCTCAGGAGGAGTTTGAGAATGTGGAGCTAGAGGACTGCAAGCTGCTGGCTACAGCTGCTGAACACCAATGCAGCAGCTTCTCCCTCTGCTAGGTAATGACTATGCCTTTCCCTTCACAGAAAGGAGGGCAGCACAAAGGATGAGAGAAAGTAGAAAAAGACGGATTAACGGAAAATTTGGACATGTTTTGAATGACTACTGACTTCATTATTACAGCAGATGGGATTATTTGAGGCAGCCATTAGGACTGTGCTGGGAATGAGTGTTGGGAGCAAGTTAGCATGGATGCACAGTAATATAGAGTGATGGAATCAGCACACATACAGTCGCTCCACTGCTTTCAACTTCTCTCAACTGCTCACATGTGGAGTCAGTTGGACAGGCTCAGGAGCTCCTTTGAAGGGACCCTCTTCAGGAAGACTATTTTTGCACACTCAGCACCGACTCCAACCATTTACATCTGCTCTGGTAAATCTCACACGAGACAACAATGTGCATTCCAACGATCCCTTTGTGCCTTCAGCTCATTCCACCCAGCTTTTTTGCCTATGACCCATTGTGCTCTCTCGCAATTATTACTATTTAATAGAACTGAAAGGTTTGCAAATCTCAAGGAAAGTACAGCACACTGTAATGGTTTTTGCAGCCTTTGCTATTGGAATGGTCTGAGTGTGCTATAAGCTAACCTGACTGCAGGATATCTCAATCCGATGCATCCCATAGGAGAAATCATCGTTGAAAGCAATTGCATCAGGACTGATCACATCATAAAAGGAAGGCCAACCTGAAAAAGAGGAACAAGATAGGTAAAAAAAGGGGGTGTCTTTGTGGCAGATAGCATTGCAAAAACCAGGACAGAACTACTTGAAACAGGACAGAACTTCAAAAACTGTTTATCTGACTTGAGAGCATGGAAATAATGGAGATTTTTTTATCCTAAATCACTTAGGTACTTTGGAAAACTTCTCCCCCAACCAGGTACAGTTGTTTACAGGAAAGGATTAAGCTGCCCCTAGCTGCTCAAACTCCATCTCCACAGGGATTCCTGCACTCCACCACAAGCAGTGATAGCAGTTTAGCTTGGGGATAAAGGTCCCAGGTAAGGCAATTCAGCTTTTACCACGCGTTAAAAAAACACCACAAATTCCACCCTGAATATAAACAGCAAGGCTTTATGGAAGAGAAATGCTTTTGCTTTTGCAATATAAGGATACTTAAAAAATTAATTGGGAAATTGCAGTTTAGAGCCCCAAAACGTGCCTTAACCTTTGCCTTCCCCAAGGCAAACCCAAAAGGATGTGTTCAGGCACTGAACCATCACACATTAGAGGTAGTGAGATGATTATTATTGTGTCTCATGTCAAAACAGTAATGAGTGCTTCAGATCAGACATGGACAGGTGGAACCATAACTATGCCTGTGTTAGACACTAGTGGAGGATCTGCATGTGGTCTGCATCCAGGATGAAACAACTGCACTCACTAATGTACATGTTCAAAGCAGCTGATAGCTGAGCACTGAGCTGCATGACCTGACACCAGATGATGATATGTGTACCTGACCTACCAGTAATGGCCACTTACCAAAATAATGACCTTCCACTTTTTAACTATTCCACACAAAATCTCCCCCTCTCCACAACACAGGCAGTGGTGACCCAGAAGACACACATTACATAGTAACTTCTCAGCACTCCTCAAAAGCCATCATAATGCTCCATTTCCTGAAGCAGGGTTCCCACATCAGCAACTGACAGGCTATAAGGTCATGTCAGCGTCTACCAGTGCCTATCTGAAATCTCACTAGCTATCTGTCCTTCTCATTCAGTCTCTTGCCAAATATAACATGCACAGGCAGTTCTTACTGTCTCCCTGTATTACCCATATACTCAAGAATAAAGAATTTCCTTGTTTCTTGTCCTAGTATTTGTTGTGCATTTGCTACTGATGATTTCATAAAATGACTTGCAATAAGCTGTTAAGAAACACAGCAGTAGCTGTGAATCACTGCATGCAAATGAATGAAGGGTGTATACAGCTTTCCATAAGACAAGTGAGTAAAATTTTCTGTAAGTAAGTAAAAGGAGAGTGGAAACTATCAACTTTTCTGAATGCGGGTAGAGAAAATGTGTAAACTGGAAAAAGACCCACATGTCTTCAGTTGTATCCTGGATTATTAAAGATGGACGAAGATTTATTAGGATGTAAGCATAACAAGGATATTTTTTTAAACAAATAAATGCTCAGAAATGTGGTTTTCTTCCTTTTCAGAACACACATACAGTAGCATTTCTAAGCTACCTGAAGGCATTGCAAGTCATAAGCCCTATGCTCACAAGGTGCCTCCTACCACCACAATTGTTTCCACCCCAGAACTTCCTACAGAAACAAGAAGAGTCATTGCCCTCTCTCCAATGATTACAAATGGAAGAGCTACAGACAGCAGGCAGACTGAGGAGCAAACACCCTGAACAGGGAAAATAACCCACAAAACAGGAACTCAAAACAATGCAGCAATGCTAACTGTAAAAAAACAATTTATAAATCCTTCCCCTCATGCAAAATGTTGCTGTCAAACAACTACCTTCACAAACAGAAAAGGAGTAAACACATGACAAGTTTTGTAAAAGGGGTTATCCTGTTGACAGAAAAATTGATGTTTCCTAATTGGAGGCTCCTTTCCAACACCATTTGTCATCTTCTTAGCTGGGCTTCTGTCTAATGAAAACTGAGCTAGTCAGAATATTTTAAATGAAGTCTTATTTGTTTGTTTGTTTGTTAATTTAATAATTTTGCAAAGCAGACATTGCAGTTTGCCCTTGTGTGATGGCAGAGGAATTTCAAAGAGAAAGCTCTTTGGAACAACCACCTGATCATGTGAAAGCCTTTAGAGAAGGCAAACTTCAGGGCTGCAGAAATTCTCAAAGAAAACCATGCCTCCTTCTTTATACCAATGAGGGGGAAGCTTCAAAGACTGCAACACAGAGATTGAAGCAATCTGTGTCTTGCTGAGAAAATTATCTTGTGAGAAGAGTTTGTTGGAGATGTGTTTATGTCAGCTTTGACATTAAGAAAGACCATCCATCCTTCTTTCTCTGGACTTCTCCTTTTGGTCTTCCCATTCACCAGAGAAAAATTATTTCCTTTGGATGCACTCCATACACTTCTACAAATGAAGTCATCTGAAACCTATATAAATAGGCAAGCTTCTCCTGAAGTAGTCTTTGTACCCAACTGGAGTGACTTCAGATTAGACTGTCAGTTCATGCTACATGTGACACATGTTCCAAAGGCTCCACCACTGCCACATATGGTCCCCAAGAGAGGGACTAGGAAACAGATCTCCACAGAGTGTATTTTTAACTCCCTGCCAAACTGTCTCTTCTCGAGTTACACGGCAGGCCAGGCACCAGCACTCCCAGGACCAACCACTAATTCTGTGAGGGTTAACTGAAAACTGAGCAAACCGTGGAACAGACAATGTCCTGAAGGACACAGTGACACACACTGTCATTCTCCTGACCTTGAGAGGAAGATGAATGAATTGCTCATTGAGTTGATGAGCCAGACTGACCAGAAAATCAATCCCCTTTTGCAGTCTCATTTCCTCTCCTGAGGTAGAGTGGAAAACCCATCTGATAGCTTGCTAAGCCTTCTTGAACCATTTTGTCTGCTTCAAAAGCTGCCAGGAACAAGCTGTAACAGCAGTAGCCGGCTTGCCTGCACATCAGGCCCCTCCCAGTGGTGTAGAAAGCCAGCCTTAAAGCTTCTGTCTGTACAAGAAGTAAATGGCCCAGCAGTGGCCTCCACTTTGCAGGCCCCAGGCCACTTCACCTGTCTCCCTGGCTTCAGCCCCTCCATCCTGCACTCCTGCCTCCTTCCTGCCCTAAGGCTGCAAAATGGTTAGCTACCTTTACATTTCAGGCTGCTTTAAGCCATCCATTAAATCTTCAGCTCACATTTGAAGGCTATCTGGCTACTTGTTAAGTGCATGCTCTTTTAGGGATAGGGGTGAAGATGACAATTTTGGATCTCCTGTGCTTCTGCTAAGCTGAGATAAACAGTAACCCTTATCACAGCAGAGGCTGAGCAGTGGTGGAGACCCTTTGCAAGTCCTGGTTCCATGACTCAACCCTCTTTGGATGATGGCCCTCTGTCAAGTCTAGACCATATGTGATGGGCAGCAGGAGCCAGGCCATCCTTTTGAAGGATGGTTAAACATACCAGCTAGGAAGAAATAGCCTCTGGAGGAAAGGGGCAAAGGGTAATTGCAAGAGAGAAGATGAGGGTGGGAGGAGTTTACCAGATGAATGAACAACTTCAAATGATATTCACACTTTTTTGTGTGTGAACAGCAACTAAGATTTGTGAATACATTTATCCTTGAATGCAAAGTTTAGTTTGAGGGGCAATATGACACAGCAATTGCCAGCAATTTTTATTGCATTATAGACATTTTAAATGGGTTCATTCTTAGATTCACAGACAGTTTGCACCACACTGGCAATATAAACAGGATTTAAAATAGGCGTCTGTCGTGTTTGTGTTCACTCCAACAACTCTTTTGCATGGGAGTCAGGCCACTATGTCTTAAGGGCCAGTTTCTGGTAAGTCAATAAGCAAGCCACAAGCTGAGTATGAGTATGAGATGAGTAGTTTTTCAAATATACAGCAATTATAATTTCTTAGATCTAAAATAGGCTTAATAAAGCAATGAAACTTTCTTCTGTCAAGTATTTAAGTGAAAAGCATGTGTAAACGGAACATTACTGACAGATCTTTTCTGCTCCATCCTGCATGAGTAACAGAGAGGATCTTACGCTGCTGGGAGTCACACATAGAGTCATGTCCTATTCTTTCTCTTTTGAGGACAGTCCCCAAATATTTTGTAAAAGCTGTGTAGCATTTCTAAAATTCACTCTACATGCCCTCATCAAAACTGAATCTTTTGTGTTTTATAATGCTTTCCCTATTCTGCAAAAGAGGAGACAGTGGTTTATGCCTCTTTGTCAAAGAATGCTTTCTTGCCTGGTACTGCCCTGGGCAGCAACACAGGACAGGGAGGAACAGAAACATTGGATGTTTCTGTTGGATTGGATTTCTGTTGGATTGGATTTCTGGAGGAACAGCACTGGATTTGCCACTCTGGGCTGAGGGCTTAAAATCATTCAGAAGAGGCCATCTTCTTTCTCACTTCAGACCTCCTATTCCAGGTACCTGATTGAGTCTGTATTTCTGATGAGCTAGTCACAGTGGGCACCTATACAGGCAGCTGGCACAAGGTGGGTACCAGGACAACACAGCTGCAAGCATACAGCAGTGCGCCCCAGAGAGCTGACAAACTGAACAATCAAACTGAGATGCTAAAGTAGCTACAGTGCCAGAGGAAGGCAGCAAACACAAATAGTGTGCCCATAGTCCAGCCCCCATTTTGCATTCCTGATACAAATATGAAACCCCAGCAGGAGTAGATTGTTTCTTTCACATTAATCCAGGAAGCTCCAAAGACCCTTATTTTGTTGGCTACTCCAGGATTCTTTCTTGGGGCAATTCTGACCTCACACAAAAAAAGAAAGACATTTTGTTCTCATAAACTTTTGGAAAGTCATCTAAATGCTGATTGATTGATTGATCAATTTTAGAAGCATCTCAAACCTCTCTCCAGTTTTGCAAGTTTGCATATATTTTACTCTAGCTAGATCTCCAACTTCCTAGTAGATGGATGCAAGCACTTAGAAATCTAACCGTTAGAACTGTGCCTCTATAATTATTTGCAGAAGCAAAA